TTGTGGTGTGGCAGCGCTGTCGTCGCTCCACAAGCGAATCACAACGAAATCTAACTCGCGCTATCAACGTTCCGAAGTAAAAAAAAACAGTATATATAGTATAGCTCCAAACTACCACTTGGAGTGTTGGCCGCTCCCTGGGCCATCACCTTGCCTGGCGGGAGATCTGCCTTTTCCTTTCATAGCCAAAGTGGCATTTCTTCGGGAGGCCTATGTTCAGCAGTGGACTTGCGAAGGGCTTTATTGAATTTATATATTAGAATAATTTGTTTACTCTTGAGATTGTTTTGTTTGTATAATATTGATGTGCCTCATAAATTTTCTTTAAAAAAAAATCTAATTGCCAACTCCAAAGACCTAAAAAGAATTAAAAAAATTGACATTCTCAAGTTTGTGCTAAGTAATTGTGTATAGAAGAATTGAAGCCCTGACTGTAATGTGAAATGGTTTTATTTAATTTAGTTCTTTAACTTTTACAAATAATTTTTTTAACCCCTTTGAGTGGACTATGGAACATCACAATCTCAATGTTGCCTAAATAGTTTCATTAAAAAACTTCGTCCCTTAATTTGCAACCCTTAGCGGTGGAATTTTGTCTTCAAATTGATATGGGACCATTCATGAAGTATACAACATTTTTAATAAAAAAAGAATCATCAACATCAGTTCTCAATCGACGAAGATATCGCGTAACATAATATGTCCTCCTTTGTTTGAAGTTGACTCAAAAGTGAATATAAAAACTAAGTTTTAGTAATTAGTAGTTCTTTCGTTTAAGAGTCCCGCTGGATTTCTTCTTGCTGGTTTTTCCCGGGGCAGAGGTTATTCTAAACCAACGGTAAAAGCATAAATTACTTTCAATATATATAACTTGAACTATAGGTTGAATAAAAATATTTCATTCTATTCAAGAAAATAAAAAACTATCAAAATTGTTTAAAGTTTTTTAACATGAAAACAATGTAAGAATTATAATTTTTCTTTATTCTCAAGGGCACTTATCCCAGCAATTACCAGCCGTCTTATTCGGGTATCTATGATGACTTCTCATCTATACCATCAGCACCACATCCACCAAATGTTTCCAGTTGTAACCAGGTGCCAATGCGGCCTACTCCACCAGCACAACCAACATTTGTTAATAATGTTGAAGACCAGATAAAAAAAGAAGGTAAGTGCATATATTGCATTTTTATAATTATTTTAAAGGTCAGATTCAGTTTAATTATTACATTGAGTTGTTAGAAATTGCTGTCATGTGCAATTTGTACTAAAGATGCTTTATTAGTAAATTGTTACAGTACAGACAATTCTCAGGTTTGATGAATGTCATTATGGTGTTTCTTTAATGTTTAGATTTGCTTGATTGTTTTGTTATATGATTGAGTAGAGATAATTGGCTGAATGAATGTAGGATGAACAAATTTCTGTCAAATTATTTTTCTTTAATTTAATTTTTATTGATATCAATGTTACATGAACAAAAATTCTGGTTCTATGTCCTTAAGATCAATGTGTTGTGATATAGTCTCTTACTTAATATAACCCGGCAACATATGCAAAAATATATTTAGAGAAAATATATAAGTTATTGCACTCGTAAACAAATGACAATTATTTTTCATGTTTCCTTTTTATAGTGTTAATTTTCAAATATTATTAGTACCTGCATGACCTGTGTAAAAAATAATAAGATGAAGCAACACTCCATCCAACATCAACCCATATTATCAGGAATTGATGCGTAGATATAATGAGATGGCACATCTAAATATGCTAATACATAATCAAGCCTCACATAAATCAGTATTGTTCAAAGCTGCAGGTATTGTAAAGTAGGCTTTGGTTGACGTGTAGAAGATATTTTGAAAAAGACTTGGAAGAAGATAAGTTTAGATTAATTTACATAATTTAATAATTATTACTTACAATAAAAAACATACTTTCCGTATTAAACAATGATTAATTTGATTAATTTAATTTACACTGAAAAATTTTAAAACTTAATTTTATTAGGTCCTTACATATGAAATTACCGTTCTGTCATACTGACCACTTTGATCTGAAATATCTCCTCTTTGGTTAAGAATTCCAAATTCAAATTTATAAATTCATTTAGCTAGTACATTTGAGTTTTAAAAACAGTCATTCATTTGTTTTTTCCTCATTATTTTTTTCTTTGGCATCGCTTATTACCGCACAATGGAAAACACGGAATATCGGTATATTTAAGAGTACGACTTCTACCGTGGCACCAGTGCTGCAGAAACAGCTCGAAGGATTAATGATGTGTACGGCGCTGGTATCGCAAAAGAAAGCACAGTACGTTTTTGGTAATTTCGACCTTCAGAACCAACCCCGTTTTTAACAGTGGTAGAGCCACGCGGCAGTTTTTGCTGTCGCACGGATGGGCAGGCTCGAACCGGGGTGGTACCACGACCTCACAGAAAACCAGCGTGAAGTAGAGGTTTACCTCTGCGTTTCGCTTGGTGAGTGCAGGTGGCCGGAGGCCCTTTTTACTGGAAATGAGGCATTCCATCTTAGTCGTCACGGGTGACAACGCATCTAAATTTTGATACCTAATAGAGGATAGATGTAGATGTCTATGGGCCGCAGCAACCACTTACCACCAGGTGGACTGTGTGCTCGTTTGTCACCCTTATCCTATAAAAAAAAAACCCGTGGACGGCCGGAGACCAAAATGGTAAATGAAGAATTAAAGGCTATTGTGGAAGCGGATCCATCACAAAGCACTTCAGAGATAGCTGCAGCCTTCGGGGTAAGTGATAAAACTGTATTAATCCACTTGAAGCAAATCGGGAAAATAAAAAAACTTGGACGATGGGTACCTCATGAATTGAGTGAATCGAACTTGCAAACACGCGTCGACTGCTGTGTTACTTTACCGACACAATAATAAAGGGATTTTAAATCGAATCATTACTTGTGATGAAAAGTGGATACTGTACGATAATCTGAAGCGCTCGTCGCAATGGCTGAACCCTGGAGACCCAGCCAAATCCTGCCCTAAACGAGAATTGACTCGGTAAAAGTTACTTGTGAGTCTTTGGTGGACTAGCGCCGGTGTCGTTCACTATAGTATTCTAAAAACATTGCCCAACGATTACGGCAGATATCTATTGTCAGCAACTGCAAACCATGAAGGAAGAACTAGCTGCTAAACAACCGAGATTGGTCAACGCTCTAGGCCACTGTTGCTTCACGACAACGCAAGACCACACACTGCACAACAAACAACCACTAAGTTAAATGAGCTGCATCTGCTACATCCTCCGTACTACCCGGATCTTGCTCCAAGAGATTACAATTTTTTCCGGAATTTGGACAACCTCTTAGAAGGAAAACAAAAACAACGCCTTCAAAGAGTTTATTGATTCTCGGCCCCATGGTTTTTTTACATACATGCATTTAGTAAAGGGATCCATTAAATACCTATGAGACGGCAAAAGTGTATAGATTGCAACGGTGCATACTTTGATTAATTAAATATACTTTACAAAAAAAAATTTTCTTTATATTCCTCCCGTACAAAACGCCAATTTCATATGTAAGGACCTAATATTTAAAATAAAGGGCTTCCATGGTTCCTAACGGTGCCACGATTTACGAGGGTGACACTGAAAATTCTTAGAAAATCAAAAACTGAACAAACTAGCAAGTTATTGGTTTTATTATTTCTTTTCAAAATAGTGTCCATTTACCTCACCTACATCGCTGCACCCGATGGAACCACTGAGAAAAGCACTTTACCCACTCGTTCTTAAGGATCTTCGACAGTATTTTGAAACGCAGCCACTGCTTTCTCGGCGTCCATAAAACGTTTTCCTCGCAGTTTTTCTTTTTTTTTCGGAAACAAATAAAAATCGCAAATAAAAAAAAACAAAAATCGGTCAGGGCGGGTGACCCAGTAATTCCATATCTGACGTTGCCAAGTAGTCGATTGTTTACTTGGCGGTGTGCGACGAGGCGTTGTCGTGGTACGAGGGCAGCACTGAAAATTTCGGGAATCAAGGAAGTGACACAACATTACTATTTAAAAATGTATTTATTGCTTTTCGAAGTATTCTCCGCGAAATTTGACACATTTTTCCATACGATGGAACCAATCATTGAAGCAACCATTCCATTTGGAAGTTGGGGTCTCCAAAATGGCCGTTTTGTAGGCGTCCACAGCTTCTTCAGGTGATGAAAATCTCTGTCCACGCAATTTATTCTTTATTTTAGGGAAAGTATAGAAATCATTAGGGCTTAGGTCAGGACTGTACGGCGGGTGGTCTCATAATTCTATGTTTTCTTGCTCTAAAAACTCTTTTGTTCTGTGTACGGTGTGAGAACTCGCATTGTCGTGATTGAGGATGATGTGGCGGTTGCAGTTCTCTTTACGGAGTTCAGAAACGACCTGTGGCAAACAAATGCTAGCATACCATTCTGCATTAACCGTTCTTTGTCCCTCAAGAGGAATAGTCGTAACATGGCCGGTTTTGGAGACAAACGTGGCCACCATTTTTTTTGCAACACTCCGTGAACGAACAATTTTTGTTGGCTTTAACTCATTTTCGAACACTCAAACTCGTGACTGGTTTTTTGTTTCGGGTTCGTACGCGTATATCCAGGATTCGTCACCTGATACGATGTTGTATACAGCATTTGAGGATCCTGCGTGGAATCTTTCGAGAGTTCTGACGCACCAAGTAACGCGAGCCGCTTTTTGCTCTTCACAGAGCGAATGCGGTATCCATCGGGAAAACAACTTTTTTATACCTAATTGTTCATACAAGATTATTTGTATTTGACTCATGCCAATGTCTAAAGTTGCCTGAATTTCGCGGCATGTCACATGTCGATCTTCCTCAATCAGCTTACGCACAGCATCAACGTTTTCTTAGGTGATTGCAGTTTTTGGACGACCATGACGGGGATCATCACTGAGCTTGACACGTCCACGTTGAAATTCAGCAAACCAGCGATAAATTTTGGATGGAGCTTCATCACCATGTTTTGAATGCAAATGCAGAAATCATCCGGTCAACACACTGTTTTTGTGATAAACCACTTCGAAAGTCATAATAAATCATCGCTCTTGAATTTTTTCGAGTCAATTTCATTTTCTCAACGACTAAACAAGTTTGACAAAACCTTGTGACAAGACTGAGAATCTTTTTTTAAATAAATAAATGGTATTCGATTTATAAAACCAAGGAGTTTTCAATTAAAAAGATTTTAATATGACAGGAACAGTGGAAATATTCCATTCCCGATACTTTTAGTGCAGCCTGTGTAAAGGAGGATCCTAATTCGAGGTCGTTTCTCCCGAACTTTTTCCAAGACAAGTTGCAAACAATTGTTAGTGTACCACTCTGCAGTAACTGTTTTTCGATCCTCTAAAACAATTGTTGCGTATTGTCCTGTTCTTCCGAAGAACGAGGCCACCATCTTTTTTCCCACGCTTAGACCTCTCTTCACTTTAGTTGGCAACTCCTCGGAAGGAAACACCCAGACAGCAGACTGTCTCTTAGTTTCAGGATCATAACACTAAATCCAGCTTTCGTCACGCGTAAATATGTCGAACACAGCATTTGAGTCAGCTCCGTTAAATCTTTGAACCATTTCACGGAAAGGCCAATCGAAGTCTATCATAACTTTCTTGTTGACTTAAATGACACCGAAAGTCATAACAATCATTGTACGAAAATTTTCTCGCGTTAAATTCATGCTGACGTGACACAGACAATTTTCAATTTGCCGCCAAATTGTAAACAAATGACAAATTAATAAAATACATACACAATAATATTGACAAAGAGTTCCTTTTTCAAATTTTGAACTTATTTTTTTATTATATCGTTTATAAGTGGCCAGTTCTAAAAACTTTCAGTGTCGCCCTCGTACATCGATATCTCTGAAACTAAGCCAGATATCGAAAAATTGTATTCTCCCTTTTCGGCGTATCTCGTCCAGATCTATGCGAATCCGCGAAGGCGCCGTAATATTTTTTATATTTATGAAAATAATGAAGCATATTAAAAATAATACTCAAAACTCTTACTTATTTTTGTAATTAACGATTTTATCCCCATATTTGTGTCAATATGTTTCGTATATTTTGTTTTGTTACAGTAAAGCTTGAAAATAAATGTTTAAAACATGAGCTGTTGTTACCAAATCACTTTATGTACAATTTAAAGTTGTATTCTCAATTTAAACTTTATTAAATTTTTGTTAATTGGTCACATGTTGAAATCTTTTTACTTTGTAACATTTTAAATAATTGGTAAAACATTGCGACAAAACTGTTCTTAAAAGGAAAGAAATAATGCTTAATGCAGGAATGGCGGAATCTTAATAAGATTCCGCCATTCCATTCCAAAAGTGTTCAAACATTTTGTGATTGCTGACATGACTATAAAACTAAACACTACTATACGCCGACGCTCGCCACGTGCCATAAAACGTGTGGACAGCAACGATGATATTGCCTGGCCTCTGTCATTCTTGCTATATGCGTGAAATAATTACCCACAATCGTGAGGCGCCCCCGGGGCAGAACGCAGTCGGGGCTAGCGCGTTCTAGACGATTGAATGTTAAAGTTTTTTAACGTTGTTTCCGTAAAAAAAATTGTGTAAATAATTGTTGAAATACTCATCGAAGTAGTTTTTGTTTAGTGTTTAGTATATTTAATTGTAAGATAAAATAGTTAAAAAGTTTTAATGAAATTTAAGAATCATTTGTATGTATATTTCATAAATTATAATGGCAAAACGTCGTTCCTACTATAATTGTTGCGGGGATGAGGATGGATGCCTAATGAGCAAACAAAAGGATTCAGATATATCATTTTTTAAGTTTACCGAAGGATATTGAAAGGGTGAATTTATTTAATTTTTTGGTTAGATAGGTACTTATAGAGAAAAAAGAATTAAGTAATAATTTAACTATAGAAGTAATACGTAAGTACTTTATTACAAAAGTGAGTTGAAATTTACTTCACTATCCAAGTACCCACTTACATATCTATACTTGTCTTTTGTAATTAAAATATTTTAAGTTATAATAACACAAAATACGAAAATTAAAACTGTTTACAAAATTTTTAACTAAGTAGAATACGATCAAATTTCTGTTAGGAATCGCATTTCGGGCTTATTTGTTGTTTACACTATACAGGATGTCCCAGTAATGGTGGATAATCTGGTACGTACGTGTACGGGCGGGGGGGAGGTGGCCTCGGTTCCCTAAAAAAAATTCTATCCCGAAAGGTTCGCGGTTTACGCCATGTTTTATAAAATTCCGAAAATTCGTACTTCTGCTCACATTTGTGGTCATCACGTCCGCAGTTTAATGCCTAGATCGGATTTTTTTCTTTTAATGTGTTCCCTAATAATGATGTTTCTAAATCTACACTTCTACACTAATATTATAAAGAGGAAAGATTTGTTTGTTTGAATTGAATAGGATCCAAAATTACTGGACTGATTTGACTTCCGAATGGAATGGTTGCTTCAATGATTGGTTCCATCGTATGGAAAAATGTGTCGAATTTCGCAGAGAATACTTCGAAAAGCAATAAATATATTTTTAAATAGTAATGTTGTGTCACTTTCTTGATTCCCGAAATTTTCAGTGCCGCCCTCGTATACGACAATATTACACGCTTGGTTACATATGTAGTCCGTGTGTGCACTCTACTGTTACACTTACTGGTCGTATGGAAGGCCTAATGACACGCCGTATGGTAACGCAACGATATCGCTAATTTTAAGTGATTGTGTTAAAAATTAAAAATCTTGTTTTATGTTCAAGATGTTCTTATTATAATTATTAGAATCAGGCGTTACTTTGCGGAAATAGATTATTTTAAGCACTTTAAAAATTAGTTAGCTAAGATCCACGTAGTAAAAATAAAATGAGGGTAAACTTTGAAGAGCACATCCCGCCCTACCTCAATTGCTTGCTATGTCTCTGTTACCTCTAAACCCACCACCACTACAGTAGGAAAATAACAGGAGAAAAAACACTGCGGAGTCTATATAGACCAACGAAAATCACCGAACCTCCTGAATCACCCAGACGTGTTGTATATCACAACACGTCTCGGTGATTCAGCCAAAAGAAATTAATATAAAAAAACATATTTCGTTTTAAACGTATCGTTCTCCTGTATCGTGGAATAAACGTTTCTCCTGTAGTTAGTTAGTTTCTCGTGGAGGCAGTTTACAAACATAAATTCCGCAAGGACAAACATTCAGACCCGCAACAATTATATTTATAGGACATACAAATACTTGTTCCGTGTGGGATTCGAACCCGCGGCCTTCAGCGCTGCTACTCAATGATAAGCCACTAACGCCACGAAGCCGTCAGATGTGTATGTAACAACATAATCATAAACACGTTAACAAACTTTTCTTTTCGTTTTCCAGACATTTGTACATTATTGTCTTCCGTATGTTAAGAAAGAAAGAAGCAAGACTTTTTAATTTTCAATATATTAAAATGATAATTATGATTCGCTACATCATCGTGTAATTTCACTTGCACTGTTTTGAAATTTTCAAAGCCTAGCTTACTTTCTTTATTTGCATAATATATTACTTTCTTATATTTTTTATAAGCTTTAAAGTGAAATTACACTCGTAAATCTTATAGGACTATCTGACGAGATATTAGAGACTATACAACGGGAGGACTGCATAAAAAAACTTTCAATTCTTAAAAAAGGACTCGAGACCCTGAAAGAACAACGAAATGAACTCCACAGCGATCCCAAACGATCTCCAAATCCCGACACCAAACGATTTCTGAAAGAAAACAATAATTTCCAGGTTTGATCTTGAAATGCTATTGTGAGATTATACATTTATTAGGTATATATCCATAGCTTTTACCACATTATAGTTTTGTAACAATGTTTGCTTTGAAATTTATGAAGCTTATACTCAAACAATAGTTTGGGTCCTAAAACGTAACCTTGCATCTTGTGCTGCGTTTTGTATAGTTGGAGATCCAGAATAAGTTGAAGACGATCAACAATGTGGTGGATATGTTAAATGGGCTCATTGGTGATGAAGCACAAGTGGAAAAAGACGTAGATGACTCAACTGAGCGCTCTTCAAAGCGCAAATCCAGGTTGGTAGTGCTACGATTTGTTGAATGCTTGTTGCTAAACCAAAAGTCAAGCAGCAAATTTTTAAGTATTACCTGTTTTATATAAATAATTGACTTTTAGTTTAGTATTATTTTGTAACATTATTTTTAGTTAATAAGATATTGATTGCATTTGAGTTTTGGTAATATTTTCCAAAGATAGAACAGTGAAGCTTTTAGTGCTTTTTACGGACAGCAGATTTGATTCAACAACAATATTCAATAGAAATTCATGTGTGATATCTCTATATTTTAAATTGTTATTGTATTTTTTATTTCTTATTTCTAATTTTAATTGCCTTATAACATTGATTGCTTTATAAAATTTGTCAATTTGAAATGCATTTTTAATAAAACGTTTTAGGGAGGTCTTCTGCTGTTTCCTATGAATTGCTAATAATTATGTTAGCAATGCATCAATATTTGAATAAATATATTTTCTATATTGTTTATTCGACAAACAACACTACAAATTTGTTAAACTGAATTTCTATCAGACTTGTATTTTACTTTCCGAGTTGATTCCACGGTTTCTACTGTCCTATTTTTAAATCTACGATACGCTTATGATTGTCCTTAACTTATTAAATATTTCGGTCAAATAAAAAGAGTACGAACATTTTCTTTTACATCTATTTCTTTTGTTAATTGAAGTAAAAGTTAACATTATAATAGTTCGCGTCGTATCCACTAAAAATGTTCAGTGTGAAAAACTGAATGTTTTTGATAAAAGAATTAGCATATCAGTTACCCAACCTATCTACAGTTACAGTGGAATTGATAATCAAAAAAATCTTAGCTCATTTTCCGCACAGTTGTTTGATACTTTACTGGAACTGTTCCTATAACCTAATTCCACAATAAGTCGATATGATTCGAATATGCATTGCATGCATTTTTCGCGTACGAAAACTGTTATCTATTAATTTCAGCAGTTGCCTTCGCAATACAGCCATAGCTAATGAGACTGACGTGATGAACCACGTGGGTAACGTATATTTTATTATGTTTCAAGATATTGCGGCCCGGGTTTATACTGTCGTGTTAATTTTTATTATAATTTTTATTTTTAGGTTTGTTAATATTTCTATCACCCTGTCAGGTCGCCGTCGGGCAAAAAGTTCAACTATGTGTACTACGACCCGGAGATGCACTGGTGTCCGGTCTGCAATGAGTTCCCCGCCACAACCAAGGACTATTTGACTCATTTGCATTCACCGGGACATCACAAGTAAGCAAATTTATAATTGGCAATAGATAGTTATTAAGGCATTAAAGAGTGCGATGCCGTTTCTTCTACGAAGGGGTCGAATATATCAAGGAATACATAGATGATAATAACCCCTGTCGGTGAAGTGATCGCTACCAATCTCTTTCTAATATGATCAGTTTGTACAATATCATGGTAAACTGACTCTAAAAAAAATCTCGCTTGGTTTCTTGGTGGTTCCTCCCAGGATTATTCCATTGAGTTATTATTGTCTACGTACTAGAGGCGACACTACATTAAGTTACGTTGTTCCATTCAACTGCAGCAATGTCACCGCACTTTAATCAGTCGCTCGCTAGGCGCTTGTAGAAATGTCACATGTTGTGTTGATTTAAAAAAATATCTTGATAAAATATGCCGGGGTGTGTTCTTAGATATTGCACAAAAAATTCACGAAATGTTAGTAAAAACCAAGGAATCACTTTTCATCGGTAAGTAAGATACTTAAATAATAAAAAAGATTATAGATTAATAATTAAAACGTTATTTGTTTGGCGCCAACTTGTGTCATGGAATATAGATTATGAAATTAATTTATTCAGATACGACATTTCTTTGAGCAAGTGTAGGACGATTATATTATGCACATTTTTTTTTGTAAATATAAATAGAAGTATTTATAATTAGGCTAAAGAACAATGGCAGACATTCATACATAAAATTAGGTGAGAAAAAATGGTAGCGTCTATATATCAAAAATATCTTAAAATGTTAAGCCTCAGTCCCTTAATAACGCTGTTACTGTCAAAGAATTTTGTACTGAGAAGGCGTCAAAAAAAAAGATATTTACATTTGAGCTTTTTAATTTATGTCCTATGTCACTTGGAAAAAGTCATGCTTCCTGGGGTGATTGATGTTAGCTTAATACATAATACATAATTGAGAGTTTTTAGATTATTGTATCTCTATTATATATTTGCATACTATAAATGTATATTTCTGGCATGGCTCCAGGTCTTTTGTATCATAGTGACATTCTCAGAAGGGCTAGAACCCAGAGCCGTAAAGCCAGTAAAAAAACAGTGACATTTTATTTTAGCTAGTGTTGGCATAACATTAAATGGAATTGTTACATAGTACTATGATTGAGATAATGTATTATTGTAGGAAATTCTTTGTAAGAGACTTATTCTCAGCCATATCACTTTTATTTTTATTATTACTGATAGTACAGTTATTACTAATAATAACTTAATATAAAAATATTTTGTGTGTTGTGTTGGTAGTCTTACAAAGTGTATACGAAAATAGTATAAATATACTAAATGGCAACATTTGAATAGGGTAAAATGATTTAAGTCATTTGATATTCCCAAACATATTTGTTTTTTTCTGTGGCTTTAATTAAAATACATTTTTATTTGAAAAATCATAGAAAAATAATAAAACTCATTTCTAGACGCTATAATTTTTGTCAACAATTTTTCTGCCATTGCTCTTTCTTACGTTTATATTTGCTGATTATTCTTTTATTTTATTTTTAGGTTTCCACGTCCAAACCACGAAAACCGAGAAAAGTGGATTAAATTAAAATAATCGTAGAGAAGAGATCTGGTTACCAACGAATCATACATACATTTGTTCCTTGCATTTTAAGGAAGAGGATAAATATAGTACGAAGAAGGCAAAAATTAACAAAACATATTGTTTAAAGGCACTTAGGGCTTTTGGGGACCCACTTCTAGATTTAAATAAATATATTTCATTAGATTCGATTTCTTCCAATTTATATAGTTATTTTATAAAATATTTATATAAACGGCCAAGTGCGAGTCGGACTCGCCCATGAAGGGTTCTGTAGCAGCAAATAATATAATTTACGATTTATGACGTTTAAAAAAAAACTACTTACTAGATCTCGTTCAAACCAATTTTCGGTGGAAGTTTACATGATATATTTTTTTAGTTTTATCATTCTCTTATTTTGTACATCATATATTTTTTTAGTTTTATCATTCTCTTATTTTAGAAGTTACAGGGGGGGGGGGACACATTTTACCACTTTGGAAGTGTCCCTCGCGCAAACTATTCAGTTTAGAAAAAAATGATATAAGAAACCTCAATATCATTTTTGAAGACCTATCCATAGATACCCCTCATGTATGGGTTTGATGGAAAAAAAGTTTTTGAGTTTCAGTTCTAAGTATGGGGAACCCCCAAAATTTATTGTTTTTTTTATTTTTGTGTGAAAATCTTAATGCGGTTCACAGAATACATCTACTTACTAAGTTTCAACAACATAGTTCTTATAGTTTCGGAAAAAAGTGGCTGTGACATACGGACGGACAGACAGACAGACATGGCGAATCCATAAGGGTTCCGTTTTTTGCCATTTGGCTACGGAACCCTAATAAAAATTTAATTATAATGATGTTGTGATAATATTATATATTATCATATTAATTTATCTCATATCATGCAAAATAAATGACAAATTATTTAAAATTGAACTTGTTTTAATAAATTAATTAACAATATACATACTCCAAATAAACAATAATTAAATACCTACTGATCATTCTACCTACGCATAATCTATTATGATAAAAAACCGCGTATGCGCGGTAAGACTGTTACAACGACATAGAGTAGCGCACAGTATTTGTTTGAAATAGCTGTTCTAGTGCGTAAGTACATTATACTTCAATGGATTATTCTCCCTATTTTTCAACACTAATTTACTAACTACTACTAACTATTTTTTAACACTTTTTTTTATTTGAGAAGTTGCGATTAAAATAAATTTTTATCGGTATTATATAATTTTTTACACATCCGTAGTTTGGTTTTTCATTTCTGGTCCAATTAATATAAAATATAGGGTGAGTGGAGGGAAGATCGAACGGTTTTTTGATAAGATGAGCAGTGTTGTGTTTGATGTCTTGTAAAACAGTACATATTAACTTAAGCTAAAATTATATCTGTTCACGCCCTTCGTTGCCCCGACAAAGGTCGACTGTACCAGGGCCCATGAGTGGTAGTCGCGACAGGCAACCAAGGGAGGGGCCCAAATAGTCTATGGATAGTTCTAAATTAATGGCAAATAAGCAAGCACAACTTACCGATTTCCGGAGGTAGGGCTGACCACAGGGTACAGTCAGGTGGTAAGTGATGTGCATGTAAGTAGTGTTTATATGTAACCTGACTTAACCGATGAAGTCGGACCGCAGATCCACAGGCGCTGCTTTTCGCCAAATGTGCGATCCCTCCAGTGGTCGATCAGCAATTGAAAACTTCTGCTATTATTTCACTATATTAGTTTATCAACTTTATTGTACATTTAAATTTAACAAAATCCACGTTAATCGAAATCAAACAAGTGACACACGGCACAAATAAATAACGGTCGGTCAAAGTTCAATATTCCATGTTCACTTAGCAACAAATTATAATCGAGCACACGCGATCTCCTCTCGAGTCATAAATTCTAGCGTTCCGCCCGACAAAGCAAATTTCATATTATGATATCAAAATGACACACAAACAACTCGTCGTCGCAAATTAATGGCAATCAGTTAATTTAATCACTCAAAACTTAATACAAGCCTCTTGTCAAGTATTGTACAAATTAGACAACTCAAATTTAACTATTCAGAGGCGGCTCCGCGCTCAAACTTTAGACCGTCTAAATCAACACCGGGCGCGCGCAATCAACAAGCGGTCGCAGACAATACTAACTTCGCCCTCGCGTCGAGCGGCTGATTCTTCTAGACTGGGCAGGGCGTGGCCCCACGTGCAAAACGAGCGCCGGCCGGCCCAAGCCGTCAAACTGGTTTTGAAAGCAAGTTTTAATGTGTTTAAGATTAGGCCTAAACAAACCCCCATCCCGGACATAAGGACTGATGTCCGCGAGTAAATTGGCAAACGGGATAACGGCACGTTGCAAGACCGAATCTCCAACCAAAACAACCGATCTGATAATAAGGATAGTTAGGAAACTAGCTAGCTTTTTAAACGTAGTTCTATGCTTATATTTCGACCAAGTTTCAAAAGCATCAATACTCAAAATTACTATGTAAAACTTGAAAATAAATTGTTACAAATTTATTTCTTGATGTGCATAGATCAAAACAGATAAATTAAGCAAAACGATAAACATAAGAGACAGCCCTATTCCTCTTTCCAAATAAATATCTTCGACAATGCCAACAAAAATGTGAAAACAAAGAGAGGATTGATTTTTATTTCCTTCGGCACAAATAGTGTTACTCAATTTCAATTTTCTTTTCAACAAAGCAAACATAATGATCAAATATATTTACAAAAACATATGTACACGTATTCAAAGAGCATCAAATCCTCCATCAAAGGGGGGACGGTGGTACCCCAGTCGCGGCCACTCAACTAACGGGGGTGAGAAGGGTCTAGCTGACTGCTATGTGGCCGTGAAGTTCCTCTCCACACGCTGAGGAGGAGGGGGGGCGACGACACCCCCGCCCCTGGGGGGAACGATCCCCCGACTGGTCGGGTTGTTTTTTATATTTCAATCTTGACCCCCCGGGGAAATATTGAACTAGAGGTTCTCAAACTTTTCACTTTACCTTAGATAAGATTATACAGAAAAGATATCAATCATATATTTTATTTTTATTTTTAATGCCAACATAATTTTCCTTTTACCATTTTCGTCAACAGAATATGTAGCACAAAACGTAAAAAATTAAATATTTCAAAATTAAACAGCTAACCAATTTAATAAGATCTTAGAAAAATGCCACAACTAAAAACATAGAAAAACTTCAAAAAGAATTATATCTATACATTAATAAAAAAAATTTGTAGTAGATCCACGTCTACAGTTCACTGTAACACATAAATGAGCAGGGTCGACCGGTGCAATACTACTGTGGCGGGTGGAAGGAAAAGGGGAGATCTCCCGCCGGGAAAGGTGTTCTGCCCGGGGAGCGATCCGAACTACAATCGGAGCCAACGCTCCGATTGGTAGTTCGGAGCTATTCTATATATACTGCTTTAACTTCGGAACTTTGTTAGTGCGATTTAGGCTTCGATGTGTTTCGCTTGTGGCGCGACGACAGCGCCGCCACATCACCCACCTGCTCAGACCGGAGATCGATAGTGCAGTCTAGATGTCGACGAATTTGCAAGTACCAGGGATTGCCTTGTAGTCTGCGGCGAGTCGAGAAGAAGGCAATTGATCTGCGAGAGTGCCGTGAAGTAGAGGCGAGCAGTAAGGCTCAGAGCCGTGCCGAACACTGTAGCGCAGAAAGTAGCTTGAAGGAACAGGAAGCATTAATATTCCAGTGCTGCGATGAACCTTTGTAAAGCTAGATGGATTGCAGAATGTGAAGACTGCAGACAATATCTGCTCGGGAGCGAATGAATGGGGTACTTGAGGACGATGAAGAAGGTTTTGAAGTTGTAGTTTCCGTAGGTTGTGTGTTCATATCACGTCGGGGTCACCACTGTGGCGGGTGGAAAGAAAAGGGGAGATCTCCCGCCGGGCAAGGTGTTCTGCCCGGGGAGCGGCCAACGCTCCGATTGGTAGTTCGCAGCTATTCTATATATGCTGCTTTAACTTCGGAACTTTGTTAGTGCTATTTAGGCTTCGATGTGTTTCGCTTGTGGCGCGATGACAGCGCCGCCACACTACCCTCTCACAGAAAATCAGCGTGAAGTAGTTAGCTTCTTAGTGGCTGCCATGTTTCGTCTGGTGAGTGAGAGTTCCGGATTCCCGTTCCTTTTCCCCTTTTCTTAAGGCCACCCAAATGTTGACGTTTGCTAGATAAACCGATGTGACGTTGCATTGTTCTAGGAGCTGTGATGTTGCATTTACTAACGAGTGTCTGGTGGTCTTTCCCCTTTCTTTAAGTTCCTACGAATCCTGTCCCTATACCTTATGAGAAGGCAACGCACAAGTAACACTCCTGTTGTTTCTTGTGTCTATGGGCAGCGGTGAAATCACTTAGCCATCAGGTGACCCGCTTGCTCTTTTTGTCTCTCTTATAATATACAAAAATTCAAAAAAATACCTTTAGATAATATTAGCTGAAATTATGCCGCTGACAATTTATATACGAGGGCGGCACTGAAAATTTCGGGAATCAAGGAAGTGACACAACATTACTATTTAAAAATGTATTTATTGCTTTTCGAAGTATTCTCCGCGAAATTTGACACATTTTTCCATACGATGGAACCAATCATTGAAGCAACCATTCCATTCGGAAGTTGGGGTCTCCAAAACGGCCGTTTTGTAGGCGTCCACAGATTCTTCAGGTGATTAAAATCTCTGTCCACGGAATTTATTCTTTATTTTAGGGAAAGTATAGAAATCATTAGGGCTTAGGTCGGGGCTGTACGGCGGATGGTCTAATAATTCTATGTTTTCTTGCTCTAAAAACTCTTTTGTTCTGTGTGCGGTGTGAGAACTCGCATTGTCGTGATGGAGGATGATGCGGCGGTTGCAGTTCTCTTTACGGAGTTCAGAAACGACCTGTGGCAAACAAATACTAGCATACCATTCTGCATTAACCGTTCTTTGTCCCTCAAGAGGAATAGTTGTAACATGGCCGGTTTTGGAGACAAACGTGGCCACCATTTTTTTTTTTTGCAACACTCCGTGAACGAACAATTTTTGTTGGCTTTAACTCATTTTCGAACACCCAAACTCGTGACTGGTTTTTTGTTTCGGGTTCGTACGCGTATATCCAGGATTCGTCACTCTCGAGTCAATTCCATTTTCTCAACGACTAAACAAGTTTGATAAAACCTTGTGGCAAGACCGAGAATCTTTTTTTAAATAAATAAACGATTTTTAAACCCAAGGAGTTTTCAATTAAAAAGATTTTAATATGACAGGACCAGTGGAAATATTCTATTCCCGATACTTTTAGTGCAGCCCTCGTAATGGCTGTAACAATACAAAACATTTTTTCAGGTACAGTTTGAGAATATGAGACGATTTGTATGACTTTTGAAAACGGGGCAAAATGGAAACTTTTATATGTTTATCTTACCCCGTCAAATTTAGGCGGGTAAAGACGGAATGTTACAATAAATCCTAAAATACAAAAAGTAGCGATATTTAGACATGGCAACATAATTACCAATTAAAAATAATGAGTATGTATACAAATAAAAAACTCGTACCTACCTCATAAATCAAGTTACACGACACGGGGTAAGATTAAAACACCCGACTTGCTCGCGTAAAATTGACAGCATAGATATTCCCTTATAACACACAACCGATCCCTCAAAATGACAAGTGCCGACTTAGGTGTGGTACGTAACAAAATGGCGGTCTTATGAATGTTGCCTGCATTGCATAAATTACACAAAATCTGTCTTTACTGATGCCTTTTTGTCTTACCCCGTTTTTCATCTTCTCCCCACTCACCCTAACTAATATTACAGAAACAATCATTAACCCTTACATTTTCCTAACGAATTAACATTCTCGCCATGAATTCTGTCGAATATTTTATCCCATTCCTAAGTGGCTTCGCTCTGGTAACGGGAAAATTCGTTGAAGCCCTTATTGATTAAAATGTTCAAGTAATAACCCGCTACAAATAAAAATGATAATAACTTGACTCTTTTATTTGCTGCAGAATGGCAGCAGCACATATGGAAGCACCATGGCACTCAGTGCCCTGCATGAACGAACGCTTCCCCAATTATCCGTCTGCACCCACTAAGCGCACTCCTATCAGAGGTGATTATTAAAATGCAATAATAAATTATTTTTTATGGGATGTTTTAAATTGTTGACTGTTGTATATCGTCTCCATCAGCTTTTAACAGTCTAATGCTGAACAAATTAGTCACATTTTTTTCTTTTTATCAATATCAATCTGATTGCAATTTCTTTCTATGTACCATAATATGTGTGCATTTACATTATATCTTTTGGTGTTTATTTTTAATATATAATGGCTTCAAGGTCTCCAATTCTTTGTGCCGTCAACGGCGTGGTACTGCAAGCTCTGTGACCAATTCATCGGGGACCTGCATTGTGCTTCCGCCCATCTCGAGTCGATCGTTCACTCTAAAAATTACACTGTAAGTTCATTAAACATCTCTATTATATTTATTTGTTAAATAAATATGTCAAATATCAGATAATGCAAAATTCGCAACAATTATTTATTCTTATGTTATAAGAATCATCGCTGAACACATCGTCGTTCGGTAACCAAAACCACTAAAAACTGAAGAAACGTAGCGTGGTGGTTGAAAGGGAGGGTCTGGGCTAGTAAATTTCAGGAAGTGACATTTCTAGAAAGTAAAGTCGGCTGCCGAGTGCCGACCGTGATAGCGATGCGTAGCGTAGCGATGTTCATATGCTACGATACTGTGTTGCTAACAACATAGGATGTCACACAAATAAATTTATAAAGCGATGAATTTTCTTCATTTTAGAATTTCGTGGAACAAAACCCGCACTGGGAGACAGATTGGATGTCAGACAGACAAAAAGCGTTTGAGAAGAGCCGAGCTAACGCAAAAATGGAAGAGAAGCCACAATATACAGCTCATACTATTACATTCTGTAAAGATGGTTTCCACACAAAAACACAGAAAGACAGCCCGCCTCCAACATCAAGCACTGAAAAGAAAAGAAAGAAGGAGAAAAAGAAGAAGAAGGGAAAGAAAATGCGAGCAGTCAGCAGTTCTTCAAACAGCAGTTCAAGTAGCTCTGATAGTGATTCAAAAAAGCCTAAAAGTAAGTTTTCTAAATGTGCTATAACCCCTAAAGAATAGCTTGTCTCACCGCCTACCTTTTACCCGTGCCCGTGTAGTAGCGGTGTAAAAATATTCACTAATCCATATCATCCCGGTTATCGCTGTCACTTCCTCATACCGATTCATTCATCACAACCTATAAAAGTCCACTGCTGAACATAGAACTCCCCCATTGATTGCTTCCCACATTGATTGGCAACTGCAGTATTTAAATTTTTTTAGCTGTTATTAAAAAGATGCTGCTGTCCATCCCCTGTTCTCTGTCGCCTTTTACGACACCCACGGGACGATATGGTATGTGTGTGATATTCTTACACTACACTGTAATACCACTAACCCTCTTACCTACTATTGATTTATTTTATTTTTGCACTTTATTGATTATATCCTTGAAAACGAGTCGCTACGAGTGGACTCAATGCCTGTAGTCAATCTCTACCGGTTACTGCGGCTCTCTTACCCTCAAGCCGGAACACATGATCGTATCATATATGTATAAATGTTATCCGATAACAATAGTATTATTGTAGAATGCTGGGACATATAGGTGCATTACAGGTACAGGTCCGGACCAAGAACACCTCCTTGTGCCACCCCAGTTTTTATTTCCTTTAATTCAGAATAAGAATCGTTCCATCTTCTTTTGAATACTCTGATTGTTATGTGTAAGATTACTGTTTGGCAGCGAATGGCTTGGGAAGCATGATCTATAGCTTGTAAATCAAACCTTGATGCTACCCCTTATCAAACGCTTGTTGTGTATCTGAAAATTCATGAAGACATTTCACGATACTGTAATTACATATAAGACTAGCTGTGGTTTGGTCATGTAGAAAGAATGAACGAGGAAAGAGTGACAAAGCAAATTTATGTTGCAGAAGTGAACGGCAGGGTCGGGAAGGGACGCCCTAGACGAAGGTTTATCGACCAAACCGGCGATACATTAAAAATGGGCCAGATTAGGAGTACCCTTAACCGACGAGCGTGTATGCGTAGATATATGGATGTAAAAGAGGCGAGAGAGGTGTGTCAGGATCGCGCCAAATGGAAGTCCGTAGTCTCTGCCTACCCCTCTGGGTGACAGGCGTGAATGTTTATGAATGTATATATGTACTAGCTGTTCCCCGCGACTTCGCCCGCGTGTAATTTAGGTTTTTATTTTTTTGCGCGGAACCCTAATTCTTTTTCTAAAACAAAAGTAGCAGAAGTTACTCTTTATAACATCAGCTGTCTGCCAGTGAAAGTCCCATCAAAATCGGTCCAGCCGTTTCGGAGATTAGCCGGAACTGCTTGTTCCGGCTAATAACAGACAGACAGACAAAAAATTTAAAATTGTGTTTTTGTTATAACTACCATATATACTTTCATATGCATTTAGTGAAAAGCTGTTATTTTGACGTTACAAACAGACACTCCTATTTTATTTATTTGTATAGATGAAAGAAATGAAAACTTGTTTACAATATCTTCTTCATCACCCAGTAACAGTTTACAGCTGGACATGTTCCTCTTCCATTGTAGGCAGAATCTACCATTATCTGGCATTTACAAGATTGTATACCGCCGTCTATCGGTAGCCAAACTATATTTGTGACATTTCTCATGTTGTCCTTGTCACGTCCGTTGGACAAAATGGGGTGGTAAACTCTTAAACAATCACCTCACGGCTATACTTTCTACTAACTATAATTTATTCCAGAAAAAAGAGAAAAGTTGATTGAGGACAAGGCACTTTCGGAGTGGATGTCAGCAATTCCGATGAACAGTCTGAACTACAACGAAAGAAAACTCTTGGACAGCTTGAAAAATAGAGCCGAGTAAGTATTAACTGTAACACTTAGGTCGGTATTCAAAGAAAAAAATACTTGAGTTAGTATAGTTTGAGCTTAAATTCGAGATTGTCACTCAATACCGCTTTGTTTACATTATTGATGTTTTACGACTAGAGCCCACGACTTTGTTCGCATAGAGAATTTAAATGTAAATGAAGCTGTTAGTTGGGGATGACCAAGCCTTTTTTGTTTGAGTCGACTGCAGTTGGACAGTGATAAGAAGCTTGACCTCTCCGCCATCAGTCTCCTTCATAATATAATCGGTTGAAACTGGCTAAAAGAAAGTTAAAATAATAAATTCTATTCACATATAATTATTGCATTCTTTGTCAAGCAGAGAGGGTGAACGTCGAAAATCCCACACACGCGAAGAGCGAGATAGACGTGAAGACCGCCGCAAGGAAGAGAGGCGAGATGAGAAACGAGAGGTAATGCAAGACAGGAGAGAGGATAGAAGAGAAGAGAGGTCGGAAAGAAGGGAAGAGCGGCCAGAAAGAAGGGAAGAAGGGACAGAAAGAAAGGAAGAGAGGACAGAGCGAAGGATTGAAAGGGAAGACAAACGAGAGGAGAGGCGAAAGGAAAGCCGTTCGCGATTGACGCAGGAGTCATCGGATGCTAAAAAACCTGAGATAAAAAAGCTGCCCTTCAGTGGTAAGACCCAGAGTCAAGTCATTTTATTATAAAATTTTTCGATATTAAATTTTTTTATTGTTCAAATTGTTTTTATTTAGGTAAGATGCCTGTGTTCAAAAACTTGGGAAAGAAGGATAATACAAAAAACGAAGATCAAAAGAAGGAAGATGAAAAAAAGAAACAAGAAGAAGAAGAGTCAAATAAGAAAAGAAGGGTGGAAATGGACGCCGATATACAGAAGAAGGTGAGGTGTTTTGTTTGATAACTTTTACGTTTTAGCAAAAATCATGCAAGGCTAACTATTGCTACTGAACATTTATCTACCTTTTGTAACTATTAGGTTTTGTTTCATTCTTGATTGCTGGTGAAAGTTAAAGTTATGTGTTAAACTGCTGGGCATAGTCTTCTATCTCTACAATCAGTGGAGAGTAATAATTTTGATTTTACAGCGTAAAATTAAATAGTTTGAAAAATCCAAAAGTGCACGCCTCATGAGCGTTTCATTTAATTTTGATAAAAAAAAAATTACCAAAATAAATTGATTACACAAAGTATAAATTCGATTTAGGTTGTATGGTACATTTGTCCTTTGTGTATCAAGGGCTAAAGAAGAAAATGAAAGCGCCTTTAAATTTTTAATAGCAATAAAAATATTATAAAACTTGATAATCATTTTATTAACAAACGACACGTACTAGGCTATCGATATGAAATAGAAAACCAGTTGATGTAATTCTGAAATTAATAAAAAAAACCGGTCTCGAAACGTCAATTTTCTCGGGAGTTATAGTGTTCACATAATCAAAATCAACATGCGGAATGTGGAGGTCCGTGTAAAAAAAATTTCAAATCGTTTTTTGTAATTTTTCTATTATATTTCAAATCGCAGGAGCTGTCGCAGCAGGACATGTTCATGCCGGGGCTGGCGGGCTTCCCGGTGGTGCCGCCCTTCGCGCACTTGGGCCTGGTGCAGCAACCTGTCTCCCCGCTCATGATGGGCTTCGACCTCAACGAGCAGCTGTTCCCGCACCCGCAGGGCCCGCAGCTCTACGACCCCCACGTGCCCAACAACCACAATAGGAATGACAAGCAGCACCAGAGGAACCAAAAGTCCAACCAGAACAAACAGGCCAATCCCACTTCGAAGGAAGTGAAGCAGCTTCCCGCGGGAGGGCGCTTCCCCCTACCAGCTTATAGCGGCCTAGCGGCCAAGGAGGCGCCCTCCTGCTCCTATTGTCGAGCATCCGATCACCGGGTGACGTCTTGCCCGAAGTTTTTGGGTAAGCCGATCCCGGCGAGGCGAACCATCGCCAAGGAGCGCCGCTGGTGCTACTCGTGCTTGGAAAGGCACCTCCAACGAGACTGCCCGCACCAGCGGCCCTGTCCGCACTGCCAGGGCAACAACCACCATGCCGTTTTGTGTCCCTCCCCCGACCAGTCGGGGGGTCGTTTCCCCAGGGGCGGGGGGGTCGTTGCCCCCCATCAGCTTGTTGAGAGGAACTTCACGGCCACTCAGCGGTCAGCTAGACCCTTCTCACCCCCGTTAGCTGAGTGGCTGCGACTGGAGTTCTGGAGGACTCGGATTCACAACGCTATGTGGCCTCCACTTGGTAGGTGGGAAGACTAGGGCTCCCCTGGAGCTCTGAATAATGTTCAATGGTAGTTATCGGAGGTGCCGAGCCTCCTGCTCCTAGGGGACAAGCAAAGTTGGTGTTTGGCCCTGCCAGCGAACACCTTCACATTCTAAAGTAAATGTCCTCGATGACATTGTAGGTTTTCTCCCTAACGTCCGTATAAATGACAGCGCGGTTCGTTGTGCGTCAGGTTTGAGACCGGCAGACCCTCAGTGGTCCCAACCTGGGCCTATAGATTTTTGAGCGGTGAGACGCGCGCGGGAAAGGGGGCCAGACGGTGACCTAAATACCATCGGATGAACGCGTTGAGACGAGCGTTTTGAATGCAAGTTTTAAATGTTAAGATCCGAGCATACAATTGTATTTTGCGTGAAAGCATAATTGTTATTATGTTTTTAAATTTAGTTTTCTAATTAATTATAATCAAAGCCGATATGATTGTTTGATTTTACTACCAAGCGATAATTAAAAAGATACATGCTCAAAAAAATTTTCAATAAAACCTAAGATTCATTCTGACTTTTTGATTGATGTATATGTGGTAATAATTATTATATTGCTTGTGATTCAAATAAAATAGAATAAATATTTACTAAAATATATCAATATTTTTGACGGGAATGAATTGACATCATTATTTATTTATTTATTTATTTATTTAGAAAACCAACAGCGTATATAGAAAATATTAACATTAATGTAACAAACTAAAAGTATGGCCAATAACAGGTTTCCCTTATATTGTTTGATGGTAGGTGTATTGTTGTTAGAAGAAAAGGAAAAAGAACAATCTAGTAGATAAATTATAAGCAATTACAAGCAATGTAATGAAGGTGGTCATAAGTTTACAGATCAGGAGAGATAGTCAGGTAGAATGATATATTACATTACCTTTATATATATAAATATATATATATATATATATATATATATATATATATATATATACATACATATATATTTACTTATGTATATATATACATATTAAATGTTTAAATATATAAACAATACAAATAATTAATTATAATATATATTAAATAAAATAACTTAAGTACTTATATTTATATTAGTAGCCTCAAAAATACATATAGAAGAAATAGATGAGAGAATATATGATTGTATGTGATTTTAACTTCAACTGCTCTATTTCGTAATAGTTTTCTTGATGTAATCTTTAAACGTAAGTTTAGATTTCGCAAAGAGGTCAATGTGTCCAAATTGTTCATTATATGTACGAGCAAGCCGCGAAAGAACAGTGTTTCGACAGTAGTTTGAATGATGCCAGGGAGTCTGTAACAATGTAGTATTGCGGGTACGGAATTTTGGAGTACGAAAGGTAATTCTTGAGACAAGATATGGACAGTCAATATTACTGTTTATTATATCATATAACAAAGCCATGTCAAGCAAAATGCGCCTGTGTTCCAGAGATAAGAGATCGTGCTCAGTGCAACTGTCTGTGTAAGTATCGATTTTATTCCGACAGCGAAAGTTAAGTTGATTAACAAATATTTTTTGAATACGCTCAAGGCGGCTTTTGTAGACATTGTACTGTGGAGACCATATTGAACTAGCATATTCCAAAACACTTCTGACATATGCAAAATAAACCATTTTAATTGTATTAATATTCGAGAATGGTTTACAGATGCGAAGAACAAAACCAAGATTTTTATAGGCTTTACTGATAACGTAATCAATGTGTTCGGATAGTATCATTTTATGATCAAAAATTACGCCTAAATCCCTAACACTTACTTTTCGGCTGATTTCTAATCCGTCAAAGTGATATTTATTTAGAATTGGCTTAGATTTCCGTGTAAAACTAATACATTCGCACTTGCTTGCATTGACAGTTATATTATTTATTTTGTAATATTCAAATAAACGGTCCAGGTCATTTTGTATCAATAGGCAGTCATGTATGGTGTTAATTTTACAAAAAATCTTCTTATCATCTGCATACATGAGGTAATTTGTGTGTATAATGCACGAACCAATGTCATATAGGTAGGCATTGTAAAAAAGTGGACCTAAGTGAGAGCCCTGAGGAACACCTGTAGGTATGTTTATGTAGCTCGAACGGAAACCACCTATCACGACTGCTTGTGAGCGGTTTGTGAGATATGATTCAGTCCATCGGAGCAAGTCACCGTGAATCCCTAATATTTGTAATTTGTTGAGCATGATCATGTGATCCACACGATCGAAAGCTTTTTCAAAATCAGTATAGATCACATCAACCTGCCCACCTTGATCCATATTTTCAAGGACAAAAGAAGAAAAACTTGCCAGGTTCGTAGTGGTGGATCGCCTTTGTAAAAAACCATGTTGCTGCTCAGGGAAGGCACGTGAAAGCGTGGAGTAAATTACGTTATATACTACTCGTTCAAGGATTTTAGCCGCGGTGTTCAAAATAGAAATGCCTCTATAATTATTTATTTCTGTACGTGATCCCTTCTTGTGTACAGGGATTATGTGTGCACACTTCCATTGATGCGGAAATATCCCTTCACGTAGAGAGCGATTAAATATAATAGTCAAGGGGAGAGCAAGTGATTTAGCGCATCGTGACCAAAAAAAAGAAGGTAACCCATCACTACCGGCACCTTTGTTCGTGTCCAAAGTTTTCAACATTTTTTCAATTATTGCAGCGTTTGTCTGTACATTAGAAACGGTTTCAGTACACAACGATTCCGTATGTGGATATATGTAGTTATTACTAGGAATACCAAATACACTCTTGAAGAATGAGTTGAAAGCATTGCATATGTCTATACCATCGGTGTACTCTATATCTTTCAAAGACATTTTCTTAGGGTAACCTGACCCACCCCGAATGGCTTTGACGAAAGTCCAGAATGTTTTAGGATGTGTTTTGATGCTATTTTCACAACTTGACGTAAATTTATTAAAGCATTCTCTCTGAACACGGTGTTCTCTTGCTCGGAGTAACGAAAACTCATCGTAATCTAATCTATTCCTGAATTTATTCCAACGTGTGTGAGCATTGTTTTTCTCCTTAATTATTTTTATTAAAGCAGGTGTATACCATTTAGGATATGATCGCTTCCCTGTGTTATAACTAAAAGGCACATGTAAACGAACACAACTATCCAGTATGTTATAAAAGGTATTTGTAGCTTCGTCTACAGTGCCTGCACATAAAAGAGACCTCCAGTCCTGTTCTAAAAGATATGTATTAATTTTTTCATAATCAGCCCTCCTGAAATTTCGCCTCGGCGCAGCTGTTTCCCGTAGAGGAGTAATGTTTAAATCCAAAACTATGAAGCAAAAAGAAGGATGTGCGTGGTCCTCCCTGAGTAGCGGCGCAGCCGCAGGGATGATATTCAGAGGTAGATTAGAGAATGCAAGATCTAATGTGTTACCAGCATGATTTTTTAAAGTATTAAATTGTCTTAACCCGTGAAATGTTAGTGTTTCCATCGGCTGGATACTCGCTTCTTGTACCTCAGTAGGCCCTTTTTTCAAAGCTGTATATCCGTTTGGGTTCCAAGAAATGAACGGCAAGTTGAAATCTCCTAATATTACAAAATTATCATTTGGAGAAAGCTCGATAATACTATTAATTTTTTGTTTAATAAAAACGAGATCCGATAGCATTTGATGAGGGTCAGGGGCAATATATGCCACACAAATATGTAAGTTGGAATTTGAAGTTTGATTATGTTAAGATGTAAATCAACACTAAAGATAATCGCGGAGTTTTAAAATAAAAATATATTTATATCAGTTTGCAAAATTAAAACTACTGCAACTACATAATAAATTCAAATAAAATGCACAAAAGCTTCAATAAAAGAACTTTCTGTGCTTTGCTTTTTTATATAAATATGTAAAAATCATAATCATATTGATTATTAGACTAGATCGTAAAATAATAGATGTTTCGATACAATTATTACAGTTCAAATCGTTTGTTCGAATGTGGCAGCATCGTTTCCGGGGCACCTGAGATTTTGAGTGAGATTGAGAGGTTCTATGGGCAGCTGTACACGTCATCGTTGGAGCCACACGCAAGTGTGAGTAACGATCCAAGAGCGAGTCTTATCCGACACTATTCCGAAGATATCCCGTACGTCAGTCTGAGCGAGATTAGAATGGCTCTCCTTAAAAACGGCAAGGCTCCAGGCGAGGATGGAATTACAGCGGAGCTTCTGAAAGCGGGTCGAAGACCAGTACTTGAAGTCCTTCAGAAGCTCTTTAATTCCGTGGTGGCGTTACACCGGAGGCGTGGAGCAGAAGTGCGGTGGTCTTGTTCCTCAAGAAAGGTGACAACGCTCTCTTGAAGAACTACAGACCGAGTTCCCTTCTGAGCCGCGTCTACGTGCTGTTTTCGAGAGTCATTACGAATCTTCTCGCGCGCAGACTTGACGACTTCCAGCCTGCCGAACAAGCCGGTTTCCGAAAGGGCTTTAGCACCATAGACCACATACATACCCTTCGGCAAATTGTACAGAAGTCCGAGGAGTACAATTTGCCACTATGTCTGGCGTATGTGCACTATAAGAAAGCCTTTGATTCCGTCGAAATTTAGGCGGTGCTGCAGTCCCTTCAGCGGTGCCAAGATGACTATCGGTATATCGAAGTGCTGAAGTGTTTGTACAGTAGAGCTACGATGGCTATCCGAGTACATAACCAGAGTATGAAATCTATCCAATTGCAGAGAGGTGTAAGACAGGTTGATGTTATATCCCCGAAACTCTTCACCGCTGCATTGGAAGACGTTTTCAAGCTTCTGGACTGAAAAGAATACGGTATTAACATCAATGGCGAGTACATCACTCACCTTCGATTTGCCGACGATATAGTCATTATGGCAGAATCGCTGGAGGACCTAAGCACCATGCTCAATAACCTCCCAACGAATAGGTCTTAGGATGAACATGGACAAAACAAAGATCATGTTTAACGTCCATGTCACACCTATGCCGGTAGTTGTTGGGAGCACTAAGCTCGAAGTTGTTGACGAGTATGTTTATCTGAGACAAATAGTCCGACTAGGTAAGTCCAACTTCGACCGAGAGGTCAATCGACGGATTGAACTCGGCTGGGCAGCGTTCGGGAAATTACGACACATCTTCTCGTCAGACATACCTCAAAACCTTAAAACGCAATTGTACAACCAGTGCGTGTTGCCAGTGATGACTTACGGATCTGAGACGTGGTCCTTCACTGCTGGCCGTATGAGGAAGCTCAAGGTCGCTCAGCAAGCTATGGAGAGGGCTGTGCTCGGGGTTTCTCTGCGTGATAAACTTAGAAATGAGTATATCCGCAGTAGAACCAGAGTAACCGACATAGCCCAACGGATTAGTAAGCTGAAGTGGCAGTGGGCCGGCCATATAGCTCGAAGAACCGACAACCGATGGGGAAGAAAGGTTCTTGAGTGGCAGCCTCGTACCAGTAGGCGAAGTGTAGGGCGACCCCCCACGAGATGGAGTGATGACCTGGTAAGACATGCAGGAAGTTGATGGATGCGGGTGGCTCAGGACCGTGATTTGTGGCATTCCTTGGGGGAGGCCTATGTTCAGCAGTGGACTTATGAAAGGCTGTGATGATGATGATGATGAAATCGTTTGTATCATTATCATAAATCTGGCTTAATTAATGTACATTTTGTAATAAAAATTTAATGTTAAATACAATAAAGTAAGAATTTTCACGTAAAATACGTGAAAATTCTTACTTTATTTATTAACTGTCGCAGATTATGACCATAAACAAAATTCTGCATTGATCAAGGCCTTATGGGATTCAATGATAGCTTTAGTGAGTATGGTAAAACATTTAAAAACAATTATCATACTTATGTTTATATAAAACTAAAACTTTTTATAAACTATTTTTGCCCATATTGCATTATTTCGGGAAATAAAGTGAGTAAGTATAATTTTTGTTTTATTTGTAATGCTAGCAGCATACTACCTCTCGATAGGATTTATTGACATGTAAGTTTTAGCAGCCTTCAGAAAAGAGGTTTTCAATTTAACTATATGTGATTTTTTCTGTATATATGTTATGCGATATGATGGCTAATTGTGAACTGATCTTGATGATTCTACTTTGATTAGAGAATTTACCTCAAGGCAAGTCTTATTTAAATTCAAAGCAAAATTGCCTTTATAGTAAAAAATAGGGGACAAAGTTTGAGATTGTAATATACTTTAATCCATTCAAAGGGACATGTGAGATAATTCTGCATGCCTCTTTTATGAACTAATTTCTACATATAACTTCTGAAGTCTGGGGTGTTTATTTTTTCGATACCGCTCTTAGCACCGACTTCAGAAGCTGTTATGTTTGTTCCAACTACGGAGCAAACTCCGTGGTTCCAACTATCAATTTTTAAAAATACTGTTGATATTATACATAAAGAGAAGCATTACTGTAATGATAACAACTTAATAGAGAGCACCTATCATTTCGACGAATGCATTTTCTGCACCAACGCCATATTTGTAAACGTCAGCCCACTTTATTTCCTTCATCTGTATTAGTTCCATGATCCTTTAGTTATAAATCACGGATGTAAAAAATACGGACGTAATCACTGAAAATGTGTGAAGCACCCTAGGTCCCACAATTTTGTTTGTCATACGCGAGATACACGCACGCACCACACATATCCCCAATCGGTGTCAGTATGCAAACATGCACAGATTTTCAGTGTAATATTACATCAGTGCCAATGTAATGTATGTTAAAAAATTTATAATCTTTCCCTAATCCAGATGCTGTGAACAGGCCTCTTATTTCAAAAGGAGACTGATACGCTTTCATACATTCTTGGGCCCAGATTGTAAAAAGATGACAGTGATGTCAAGTAATAGCTTATATATTATTAAAACATCACCGAAAATTCTGCGGACTTTGGCAATGTGAGAGCAGAATTATAAGAGATTTAGTAAAAGTGAGGTTATGCAACAAGTTGGCAACAACCTATACTGAACAGCTGATTTTTAAAGTGGGATTGCTATTTTGGAAGGATCATGGGCCTAATGTATTACAGCGACTAGTCACTATGACACAATTCACACAGCGATCCATTGAGTCATCCCTTGAAGTATTAGGCTTAAAAAAATGGATTTATATTTACATTATAAATGCAAACATGAAAAAAATATCGACATTTTAGAAATCGATTTTTTGGGAATCGATACATCAGCTTACAATTCGAATCTATTTAAAAAATCAATCTTTTTCGGAAAGAATCGACATCCCTACTGACGTCGACAATGACATTACAAAATGGCGCCAGTTTATTAGCAGATTAGACATAAACATTGCAAGAATAATTGATTTTCAATTATTCTTTTCTCAAAAATTACGCGTTTCCGTATATTGAGACTTTGTGTGTGTGCTTATAATAGTGTAATCTTTCTGTAAAAATACGTATCAACACCAAACTCCACTGACGTCAATGGAAAGCTAAGCCAAATTTTAAGTTAATGGCTGAAGTAAATGAGGAATTCTATTATTTTAAATAATTAATTGTCAACATTATTTTATGCACAATCGCACACCTCTAGTCTTATTAATTACAAAATCAAGGATGTCTGAATAACAATGACAAACAATCTTTTATGTTTTTATTTCAGATGATACAGTTTAAATAAACTTAGTGTGATATTTGATCAGCCATCGTAAAAAAAGGTATGAGGAATAATTTTGCTGTCAAAACACGTAATAACTGATGGAAATGTATCATAATGACAAGATGATGTGTACTAAACAGGACTGCAAGCATACTCAATTGCGCTTGTTAGATAAATTAAATGATGACCATGTGATTCCCAACGAAGTAAAAAAATTAAGGTAATAATCATGTAAAATTTAAATTGCAAAACAATCGCCATTCTACAACTTTAATTCAGATAATATTTTTATTAGGATTAGTAATATGTTTATATTTTTGAGCAAATTTGATCTCTGTCTACACCCTGAAATAAATGAATTAATGTTAATTCCAATTTTAAAACCGTATAATTTTTCCGTAAAACCGGCCATCATTGCCCGCAATTTTACTTAATTTTGAGATTTTGCAAAAATTATTTACCAGAACGCGTAATAAAGTTAATCAATATAGCAATTACTATTAAAGGCTTTAAATCACAAAATGTTGAGAAGCTGGCTTCAACAGAATTCAAGAAAAACGCGTTTAAATAGCCGGGCAAAATTATACGCACAACCGTCCAACATTGCTCAGCCTTATTTTTTGTAAAACTATCAGTTCTAAGGCTTTGGAAATAAAGTATGTTATGGTAAATTATGCAAAGTTGCCATTCTTCTTGATCTAAATGTCAAAAACTTTTTATTTTTTATTTCACTTGGGTGGGCAATGTTATACTACACACCAGCTACATTTTCTTACAAACTAAAACGGTGGCTTAGGGTTGTCACATAATGTGATAAATAATAATATCTTTTCATATTTTAAATTTTTGTATTAAAAATCAGTCAGGTACAATAGTTATACATTGCTGTTACGGCCTACGGTTGCTCCCTTAAAGGATCCAATCCCCCGGGGCCCATCAGCAGAAGACTTCCCGAGCAAACGTAGGTCGGGCCTCCTAAGGCCACGTGGAAGTTCTCTAATTACACTAAATATATGGGGGAGCGTTATACTACGGCCAGTCGACCGGAAGGAATTTGGCGGGGTTCACTTACCTCTATCCAAGGCGACTGGTTCCTCCGGAGTCGGTCAGGTCGCATGTGGTTGTGTAGTGCAAGGGAAAGAATGGTGATGTGGTGTGTATCTGGGTGTGACTGATGGTGATTGAACCTAGACCTTAGCCGTCGGCAACAGCCCGAGCGTCGACACCGCTTCAACTTGAGGGGGCCTTTCGAGGTTATCCACAGTCACTTTCTTGGTTCACCACGATGCCAGTCACTTAACTCTATCGTACGATTAACTAGCTTACAGAAGCCACTAACTATCGCGGGGTATAAGGTTACCGCACAAAACACGCCCGGAGTTTCTAGGTCAAAGGTCACTACCGTTTCGCGTGGCAACAGTTCTAAATACCGAGGCCGCACTAGCTTATATTGTCGAATGCACTTATACAGATTCTAAGTCGGACCCAATAAGTCCCGGGAAAGGCTATCCAAACAGGGAATGCGCGTTATAATTCCTAGACAGGATATTTACTAGACGCCCTAACTATTCCGCGGTTCCCGCACAAAATTAACAGCGTGCAAACATTAGCACATCTGGCAGATGACTGATCCGCTTGCGACCCGCGCGCCACCGCCAGGATCGGAAGAACTTCAGACCGGAATCGCGCCGAGCCGAGTGACATCTGGTGTCGATTCCGACAACAGAGTTTTGCGCGAACAAACCCCCGTCCCGGACATAAGGATTTAGGTCCGCGAGCAAACCGGTCAAGGTCGAGACTGCAAGTTGCAAGACCGAATCTACAACCAAACTAGGCCACCTTAGGCAATCCATTAGGTCTTGCAACCCTAATCAACGCCTCAAAGATATCCCTAATGTGGCAAGCCGGAGGGTCAGCCTCCACTGGATGCCCCTCCTGGGCATCGCAGCACTTTAATAAGTCCTGTACTGGACAGAAGTCCGACGACCTCTTTCAAACACCATCTGTGCCCCTATGATTAGTTCCGCAATCCGACCGGATCAGCTCTGCAAACAGTGACGCGACACGAAGCGGCCTCGAGCGGCCTCCTAAGCTTCAGTGCAGAGAGCACCCACAAATTCCACATGAACGTCGTCTGTGGAGAGCCGAACGAAACGCACAGATAGTCCCTAGTATGAATTTTCAACAAGTAGGCCTAGCCAGGCCACCCACCATATTATCATTTACTAAAATAGTGCGGCAGCTGATTTCAATCTGATAATCTCCAAACTAGCTAGCCTGTTAGACAAGTAGTCCTATGCTCATATTTCAACTAATTTTTCAAAAGCATCAATGTTCAACTACAGAATTAATTCAACCAAATTAATCACCGATGCGCATAGGTCAACTTGCAAATTAAACAAAACAATAACGTAAGGGACAGCCCTACTTCTTAGAAAACAAAAATGATTAAACACTATCATAAACATAAACATAATTTTTCAAATAGTGCGCCATTCCATTTCAGATGAATTCAAATTTTCCTTTCAGCAAACAGACGCAACAATCAAATACAGTGATTAAATATATTTACAAAACACATGCAGTAGCATTTAAAGGAGTAGATTAAATTCAATTCTTTTAATTTAAACCGCTACAAATAGGAAAATTTCGCGGAAAGCCCAAACCATTTTTTAATTTTAATTCAAGTATTTTTTTGACTAAGTGCTCGACCAAACCAAATCTAATACCCCTTGACAGCGTGATTCAACGCTCCAGAGGGGCCCTAATCTTCCCACCACCAAGGGGAGGCCACATGGCGTGAACCCGAGATCGCTAACAATCGCCACTCGGGTTGTACGCCTTCACTGAGGCCGTCGGCAACAGAACATTTTGACAAGTGGACTGTTGACGGCTTAAGGCTCAGTGGAGGTGGCCGTGGTGGGAGCTAAGGCGGCAGCTAGCCAGGGCCGCCTCCATCAAATGGGGAACAGTGGTACACCAGTCGCGGCCACTCAGCTAACGGAAGTGAGAAGGGTCCAACGGACAGATGAGTGGCCGTGAAGTTCCTCTCCACACGCTGAGGGGGGGTGATGACACCCCCGCCCCTGGGGGAATTACCCCCCGACTGGTCGGGGGAGGGACTCCTTTCAAACTTAGGGGCCTGATGGCTGGCCGGCGGGCGCCAAGAGTCGCCCGGCAGAGGGCGTGGCTGAGCGCCCCCGCCCGTGGGGGTCGAGGGCCTGGCAGAGCCCCGAGAGGAGACGCCGTTCGCACCCAGGCACAAAACGGCATGGTGATTGCCCTGGCAATGCAGACAGGGCCGTCGATGCGGACAGTCTCGCTGGAGGTGCCCTCCCAGACATGACCAGCACCAGCGGCGCTCCTTGGCGATAGTTCGCCTCGCTGGAACCGGCTTACCTAATAATTTCGGGCACGACGTTACCCGATGATCAGATGCTCGACAATAGGAGCAGGGGGGGGTTGACGACGGCTTGCCTGGAGGATTCAGCCTCTCACTGGGCACGGCTCGTAAGTCGTCAACGGTGCCCGCCGCGCTCTCTATCTGCCGGCACTGCTCCTCCAAAAACCGCAGCAGGTCATAGAAGGGCGGAATATAGGAGGCCTCGTCCCCGCCGTACCTCTCCTCAAAATGGATTCGCAGGTCGAGAGGTAGACGGGACAGCACGATGCGGAGCAACAAAAAAGCCCATTCGCTCACTGGTAAACCCAGCCGCCTCAATGTATTACAGGCCACCAAGACTGGATCCAACAGGTCCGGACGCAGTCTGGCCCGGTCACTAAGCAGCGGGAGGCTTAGAAGCTGCTTAACATGCTCGTCTGCAATTCGCCGGATGTTGGCATATCTTCTGGCTAGGAGGTCCCGAGCAGTCTGGTAGGCGTCGTCCGACAATTTCAAGTGGCCGACGACGCCCAGGGCCTCCCCCTCCAGTGAGGCCAGGAGGTACGCCATCTTTTGTCTCGGGGTCAAGTCACTCCGGGCGTCCACTAGGCTGTCGAAAAGACCAACGAAGGTCAGCCATTCGGAAAGGACCCCGGAGAACTTTGGCAGGTCCAGAGTTGGGAGTCGTCCCAACCGCTCCGGCTGAAGCTGCTTCAGAGAGGACTCGGGCAGGTTACTCATCCGAGCTTCACGCGCCTCCTCGGCATACCTGCCTTCAGCCTCGATCAACTCGTCCGTGAGCCACAAGAACTGCTCATAGTCCGCAAAGCAAGAGTCCAGGACTCCCTTCTCCACATCCGAATCCTCGAGCTCAGCGTAAGCCTCCTCCACTGCGGCCCTTCGAGCATCCACCTGCTCGAACCGCTTCATCAAGTTATGGACCCTATCCGGTCGACCTATCAAAGCATGGGCGCTTGTGGCCCAGCGCAACTCAGTCCGCAGACAACGGATCAGTAGCTTAGGCGATGTCATCACTATTAAATACAAATTACGACGCGGCTTGAGCACAGTTTACAAAGATAACAAATAAAAAATACAACAAAAAATTAACAGTTAATAAATGCAGTTCCTATCAAATCGCGTTGAATAGAAATTACACAAATACGAACTACTTGCTACGTATCAACCAAATACAAGTTAGCACAAAAAAGACACAAATCAAATTAACAAATAACAAATACTAGTGCGATCGAATCAAGTTAAATTCAAATTGCGCAAATACAAATTACTACTATTTAGTTCAAATACAACTTACAGTATAAACGAAGATACACATCACGGTCGATCAACAAAAAATGCCTAGCTCGGAAATCGAACCTTCGATAAGTAATCCACTACAACTCTCCGACAACGATAATTAACCGATTACGTAAAAATAACCATCTACCTACATGACGTATATCTCTAGAAAATCTCCCGCTTGCACAACCTAGGGCGCGGCTTTTCAAATTACCCTCTAACCAAAAAAAAGGCAAGCAACAAAGCAACAAAGGAAAATAATTCTATTATTACGTACAAAAAAAATATTTTTACGTATTACGGACGGGCGTGATTGTAGATGCCAATTAAACCAATCACACCAACGCTCCCTGCCACCAAAATTGTTTAATGTTTATCAAACACTAGTCGGGATCGACCGGGAATCGAACCCGGAATCGCGCTCTGCTACCAGTTTGTTACGGCCTACGGTTGCTCCCTTAAAGGATCCAATCCCCCGGGGCCCATCAGCAGAAGACTTCCCGAGCAAACGTAGGTCGGGCCTCCTAAGGCCACGTGGA